GTGCTAAGGAATTCCTTTGGGAAAGGAATGAAGAAGGATTTCAGTTGCCAAGTAAGGTGCTCACAAAATATTGCACTTGAAGGTAAAATGGCTCAGCAGGTAAAGATGCCGTCAGTCACGGCTAACGACTGAGCTTGATCCCGGGACCTACATGGTGGAAGAAAAGAACTACCTCCCACAACCTGTGTCCTCTGATCTCTACATGAGCTGTGTCATGTGCCTGCCCTCCCTCACACTCAAATGGATAAATTGTACCTCTGAATGATATCTCTCCTGGGGACTCAGCCCATCTCTCTGTGTTCAGTAGATGTGATTTTATTCCTCTGGGGTTGTGTGTCCAGCTCCTGTCAGAGGTCTCTCCCAGGGCAAGACACTGTGCCTCTGAGGAGGATGGAAGGCAGACTGTCCTAGCCTCATGGCCTCCTGTGATTCTGAAGGACAGGCAGTCGCCTTCAGCCATCAGCAGGCACAGGAATGTTTGTGGACTTCAGTGTTCTGGACCCACTGGGTTCATCACGGGAACAGGTATATTCCTGCATGCTGAGATTATCAGGTACCGGTTCCCTTCGGAATTCTCACAGATACCCAATGCCCAGGCTAGTCTCAGAGCACCGTCGTCCCTCTGTGACTGTGTCTCTTTAGTCTCATCACATATGAAGAGCCCACTACATGTAGGGAGTCTGTGGCTCTGCTTAGAAATGCTTGAGGGTAGTCCCTCTCTGTCTGAGATTCTAGAATATTTGAGGGTCCATATCGTAGGACTGAACCCTGTATGTTCAGTACTGCTGGGGCCAAGACAGCAGATTGCCGGGGTGACATGGGTACCCTGTCAGCTGTGGGGTTCTGTGACCCCCTGGGAGCAGAGTGAGGGTCAGGGTTAGTGAAGCACACAGGATAAAGCAATGCAAGAAGCAGCGCGGGGCCAGCGGGGCTGCCTAACCTTCAGAATCTTGTGACTCTCTCAAGTCAGGCCCAGCCTAGTCCACAGAGCGAGTTCCAGGACAGCCAGGGCTACACAGAGAAACCCTGTCTCAAAGAAGAAGAAGAGCAGGAGAAGAGAGGGAAGGGGAAGGAGGAAGAAGAAGCCCATGACCTGAAGTGCCTCCACCATCATGCTTGCTCCTGCGGGTCCTGCACTGTCACCCTGGGGTGGGTTACACATGTGCACAGTCAAGCCTTCTTTCATTGTTGGGCACTCGCTTGTGTGCAGAGTCAGTGCTTGATGCCACTACCAGCTGGCAACAAGGCAGGTTAGGTCAGCAGTGCTTGGAAGTCCAGCCTGGCTGCCCACGTCTCTCCCTTTAACTTTTCCCACTCCCAGTCAAGTGGAATAAGGGGGAAGGGTTCTTGTAGGGAGCTGCAGAGGGAGCAGAGGCTTGGCCCCTGCAGGAAGCTGAGGCACCGATGCTCACCTTCCTGAAACAGTGATGAGAGTCACCCTCTGTGCCTTCTGGCTCCCTACCCTCCTGGCAAGGAGAGATGAGGTATTTGAGTCAAGGCTGGATTCAGTCTTTCTTTAAAATTTAGGCAAGTTTTGGTCATAGATTTTGACAGTCATATGATTTTTGAAAGATATTTTATGAAAAAAAATTATTTTTCTTTTGAGACACAGGCACAATAGGAAGTAGACGTGTAGCCGCCTGCTGAAGGTACCTGATACCCATTCCAGGGTGGGTTGGATCCTTTGCCTAGCCTTGACCCAGCCTTGAGTGAACTCTCACCCATATCCATGTCAGAACAGTTTCTGACTGATCACCTGATTGTTCGAGCCTCAGATCGTGTTTTTGTTTCATGATTTGTCTGTTTTGTCTTAATGTTTTATGAGACTATCTGACTATGGAGCCTCAAACTCTCAAGCCCCGTTTCTGCCTCTCAGATGTTCAGATTACAGGCATGCACTGCCACACCTGCTACTCCTTGGGATGTCATTTTTATTTGTCTCCTATAGCTCTAAAATATCGCCAATACACAGAACAGGGCACACAACACAGATGCTCATTGTGTATAAGATGGTAGACATCGAACTCAGAATTTAACACACGCTAGGTAAGTAATAGTTCTATCATTTAGTTACACCTAAAAACCTGTTCAATTCAATAACTACAGACAATTTTATCACCTCAGAGATTAGAAAATGAGAATGCCCCCGATTTGCAAGGCCCTCTGTTATCACTGAACTGTTTTCTCCAAAGACGATGGCCATTATTGCTTTGGCGATCCCTCCCTCTTTCCTGCTGATGAACCCCAGGGCCTGTGTATGTTGAGCGAGCGCTACAGCAGCGCCACACTCCTAAGGCCATCACTAGGTCTTCTTTCTAGTCTTACTATCTACATAAGGATCCTTAAGCAAGAATTTGCTTCTGAACGTGAACAGAAGCAGGTCAGGGTATAGGACTGCACTCCTGGCATTCAGGAGGTTAAGGCAGAATTGCTGTGAGCTTAAGGCCATCTAGTGAGGACCAGGCTAGCCAAGACTACACAGCAAGACACAAACACAGAAATACCAATAATAGAACCACATGGGGTTTTTGGTGCTTTTTTGCTTTTGTTATGTGTGAGGTTTTTTGTTGTTGTTGTTTGTTTTGCTTTGTCTGTTGTTTGTTTTTTAAGGGTTCTCAGTCAGGTAGTAGTAGTGCATACCTTTAATCCCAGCACTTGGGAGGCAGAGACAAGTGGATCTCTGTGAGTTCGAGGCTGCTGTCACAACCTCCCGCACCCCCCCCCCCAAAAAAGATAGGGTTTCCTGTATAGTCCTGTCTGTCCTGAGACCAGGCTAGCCTTGCACTCACATAGATCTGCCTGTCTCTGCTTCTTGAGTGCTGGGATTAAGGCATGAGCTACCAAAGCATGCCAAACACACGGTTTTGTGTCCAATGTCCCACACTGAGATTCTGAACTACTGCTCTGGTTCACTTTCCCTGCTGTCCAGTTCCAAGGACTTACACTGGGAACCGCCAGCCTGCACTGCAGGGTCTCAAGACTAGGCAGCTGTGGGCATTTCTTCAAGTTCTGGTGCAGGTACTCAGGAGTCTTACAGGCACGTTCCTAAGAATGGAATTGATGGCTCACCGGGTGTGTCGGTTTTGCAAAATAATACTCAGCTGTTTTTCCACAGCGCTCATAGCAATTTACTCCCACTAACTAGGGATCAGTTCCTGTTGCTCCATCTGCTCAACACTTGGTCTTGTCTGACTTAGATTTTTGCCAATCAGCTAGGCATTAATGGCACTTATTTTTCTGATTTCTGATGAAAGTGAACCTTTTCCACATAGTTTTAAAATCCTCCCTTGTGGCCACCTTTCAGATTTTCTACCAAGTTCCATACTACGTTGTCCTCTTCTTGCAATACTAGGGATTGAGTCCAGGCCTCATGAATGCTAGGCATTCTACCCCAAAGCTACATCCCCAGCCTGCGTTTCCCCTTTCCTTGTGTGTGGTGGGGGGGTGATGCCTTTGCCTATGCGTGTGGAGGTCAGAGGTCAGGCATCCTCCTCTATCATTCTCCACTTCACCTGCTGAGAATTGAGCTGTCAGATTGGCTAGAGAACTCCTTGGATCCCCTGCTCTGTAACAATGGGGTGATGGTGTTATGGGTATGTGCAGCCATGCCCGTTTTTATGTGGGTGCTAAGGGTTTGAACTTGAGCAAGTGTTTACTCCCTGAGCCATCTCCACAGACCACTTTCTTTAAGAGATAGACTCTCACGGACCCTAGTCAGGAACTTGCTTTGTAGACGAGGATGACCTTGAACTTCAAATCCTCACACCTCCCAGTCTTGATTATAGAAGTGCGCACCACCACTCTACCAACCGAGCCACATCCCAGACATTCTGACAGCAGCTCTGGTATGTTATTAAAAATACTCTCACTCACTCTGTGTCCACCTCTTTATTCAAGTTTCAGATTAACTTTCTAGTATTACAGAGAACATCGTATTAATATTCTCTTTACCATGAGATCATGAAGATTTTCTCGTCTTGTGCCGTCACCCTCGCTTTCCTGGATGGTCAGCGCTCAGATGAGCCGCATTTGCACTATCAACAAGTCACTGCTCATTTATTTTTTTTTACATTTTTTCCTTTTTTTTATTAAGAACTTTTTAAATACAGTTTTTTCTCATTTTACATAGTTATCCCCGTTCCACTCCCTCTCCACCCTTCCCTGCACTTCTCAGAAAGGGTAAGGCTTCCCATGGAGAGACAACAAAGCCTGACACTTCACTCTGAGGTAGGACCCCCTCGCCCCATCAGTGATGCTTTCTGTTGGTGGAAAGAGCACCAAGCAGGAGTGTAAACAGAATTGTACCTGGTCCCCACAGCCCTCACCCATATGAGGAAGCTGAGCCTCAGAGATCATTGGTTACATGACACAGAACAGTCTACCAAATTACAATCTGAGTTCAAGTGGCTATTTTCTTGCAGCAAGTTCACGGGCAAATTTGCTTTTCTGAGCCCCAAATCTCTTCACCTCTCCAAAATGAAATAATTAAAAAATGTTTTCAAAGACGTTAGCTTCAGGCTGTTCACAATGAGCTTGACAACAGCGGGACTGGAATTTAGTTTTCAAGTTTAACTGTTACATTTCTATGGTAGCTGGACAAATAGCAAGTGTCCCACCTGTTCTTCCCAGAGGCTGAGAGCACATGACATGATGACTGGCAGGCGACCTCTTACCTACATCCTATCTACCCTCTTCCTGGTAAACTTTGACTCCTACTGACTTCTCCACCAGGTGCTGCCTGACCAACTGTTGACATCTGGAAGCCTACAGCCTACCTGGCTCCCAGGAAGAAATCAACCCACAGTCTCTCCCACATTATTTAGGAATTGGGACACCTAGGGCACCTGCCCAAGGCCCACATGGCTAGGGTGGCTCCCTCTTGGGAGGGGAAAGGGAAGCCACCAGTTTCGGTCTGCACTGATAAGAAGTGAGGTAGATGTGTTCAACCCCGGGGAAGACACAACTCCCAGTCCACCTGCTTTCCAACACAGAAGACCAACTAGGAAGGCCACTGACTTTATTAATCTAGAAATATTTATAAGGAGAGTGACTATTTTTGCCAAAAAAAGGGGGGGGAGCCAAAGGGCATCCAACAGATGGTGAAGGGAGTGAGAAAGGGACCAGAAATCCATTCAGGAAAGCTGGTAGCTGTTGCCATCGACCTGCAGGGGGAGGAGAGGCAAGGCATGCAGGGGCAAGAATTCCAAAACGGATGAAAGGCTGTGGGGAAGAGAACTCCCAAAAGACCCTGGAGTACACAGGAGGTGACGTGACAACAGCAATCTTTTCCTTCATGGGGACAGGGAGGAGCCCCACCCAGCTGCCGACTCTGGAAACTAGATTCTGTGGCTGGGGGGACTGAGGAGTCCCCAGAGTGCACTACAAGAAGGCATCACACCATTCTCGAAGGCACCCAAAGCAGTCCCGGGACTGCTTGGCATTAGCACCACATGTGTCTTTCAGCCATTCTCGGAAGAGGTCTTCATCTTTCTTTAGCACCAGAAACTGGCCAAGAACCACATAAGCCTGCAAAACAGGAGAGGGCACACAGCTAAGCGCCTCGTGGGCTAAAAGCAACAAGACTATGTTGATGCCACCCAAAAGGTCAGATTTCTGAAGCTAGGAGGGCCAGCTGGTGAGGCCTTGGGAGGGCAAGGCCATTTTTGTTTTAAGACAGAGTTCTTGCTTTGTTGCCTGGACTAGCATTAAACTCGATGGGAATCCTCATCTCAACCTCCCAAGTGCTGGGATCAGAACCAGGACCCACTACACCTAGTTCCACTTTTGTGGCAATGAAAACACCCAAAAGGATGGGACACAGTGAGGCACACCTTTAACCCCACCACTTGTAAGGTAAAGGCCCTGTCTCCACAACAACAACAACAAAAAACACTAATATGACCTTACCTCCCCAGAGGCCCCCAAACCACTTCAAATTATCTACCACTGTCTCTACTTTCCTCACTCCCAATTTTTTTGTTTGGAAACACCTGTTGCCAACGTTCACTCCGACCCCTCCCTGGCGTTTGTGGTCATGTCACACCTTATCAAAGCCCCTTTCCTCCAACTTCTTGCCCAGGACTTCACCAATCCCGGCCAGGCTCCCCACTGGCTTTTCCCCCATGGGCTCTGCCACGAAGTCTCGGTGCTTTTGGGAGGTTGTCATCTTGATCAAGTTTAACCTGGGAATCCCAAAAAACAAAAACAAACAAAAAAAAAGGCAGGTTAAGGCTGAAGACCACAACTCCCAAGGGCAATCTCCTAGGTCATCTATTGTGGCTGCTTCCTCGATTCCCCTCATTTCACACCTGAGCAAACTGAGGGCCAGCCAGGGACGTCTTTCCCCAGCTATTGCGGAATCTCCACTTTTTGGTTTGGGTACTGACCCAGTGGAGAGGACCAGCTTGCACTAACAGGTGGCGCACGCAGGGCACCGCAAAGATTCCCAAACCCAGCGGCCAGGGCCCGCCCCGACGCTGTCCCTCTCAGTGACCTTGGCTAGGCAGACGCTGACCCCGCTCCGACCACGTGGTAGGAATTGCAAACGGGGTCTCGCGGCCAGCGCCGCCCTCCAGAGGCCAGCTAGCGCCGCGCACCCGCTCCGC